AAAATCCATACTCCAAGTCCAAAATCTCATCTAATGAATCATCTAAATCAAGTAGAGATGAAACTCTAGGTGTATTCCATGCAAGGGCAAAATTCCTCTTCATCTGTGAACCTGTGAAATCTAGAATACAAGTTATCTGCTTCCAAAGTACAAGGGTGGAACAGGTACAAGGTAGTTTTTTTTTTTTTTTTAAACAAATAGGAGAAATTGGCAAAGAAGTTCCACAACACAGAGCCAATATTAACCTTAGTGCAGTGGTTAAGCGTTTCACTGGTAACCAAAGGGTTAGCAATATAAACCCACCAGCCACTGTATGGAAGAAGATTTGGTAGTCTGCTACCATAAAGATTATAGTCTTGGAAACCCTATGAGACCATTCTATTCTGTGGTAAAGGGTAGTTATGAGTTGGCATCAACTGGATAGCAGTGAGCTTGGTTTTGGTTTGGATTCTCCAAAGTATCTCACTCCCCAGCTTTTCTACTCAGGCTTTCAGTGTATCTGTTCATCCTGTTACCTTTTGTTCCAGGTGTTTTCAAGGAAACTTTCTCCTGGTAGCCTCATCTTCAAATTTCAGAGTTCTTAGTTAGGCAAAAGAAAGGCAAGCCCTTTACATGAGCCCTTCACAGAACTGCTAGCAAGGTCAAAGCAGATAAACACAATTCCTTGGGAATAAAGTCTGCTTTGCTCTCCCTCTACAACTGTGAAATGACATTAGGAATGCAAACTGTCATCTCCAGTACCACTCCTGGACCAGGGAAGGTAAGGGTAATGCCACAGCTGTTGTATAGGGTTTTATCTTAGAAATTAATAGATATTGAAGTTTGTCATACATAAACTTGTTTGGGTTCTTGCAAGGTAGTCATTGCAAGGAATGGAGGTAAGACCTCACAACATTCATTTAGAACTGGAGACTCAGAATTAACCATTGAAATTACAGTGTTTTAGTTGATTGGTTATAGTCCATATCTTTAAACTTCAGGCTTTTACCTTTTAGGATGGGCCTCAGGAGGAACTTAACTGCAACTCAAACTCAACAGAGATCCCT